CCGGCTGTGCACCAATGGACTTTCTTTATATGTGCATTTAACATTCGCTCGAACGGTGAAGGAAAACATCGTGAGGTAACCGGCTTGTTTTAGATCCAAAAAGTCGACAGCGTATGTCAGGAATAGAAGGCTGACTTACTTGCTTGCTTGAAACAGATCTGAGGCCCAGACCTTTTAATCGATTCGAAGGATGTTCCATAGATCTTTTTTACGACAAAGTTTCTACAAAGTATGAAGCGCATATATCTGGGTATTATGTTTCATTCTTAGTTTTATGTACTCAACTACAGAGGCGCTGCAAGATATTTACAATTAATATTATAATATTTTGGTAAACTCATGATGCAGCTGCAATCCATACATAAATATATGTATAGTATATGGAAGTTGTAGTAAATAATACTTGAGATAAATCTGTTTTTTAGATTATAACTGTAATCTTTTATAGGAAAAGGTTGGTCTCTCTTAATACTTCTTAATACTTCGTTTTGTATTTTACTATTGTAGGTATATTACTTTTAACAACACAGGTCCTAAAATAGTTCATTAACTCATAATCAATATAGAAATGATTTCTGAAAGATCAAAACGAATGTTATTTGTTCGTTTTAATCTACTGAAACATATGAACTAGTTTATTTTCCAGTCAAGCTCCAGCACATTATACGTTTTCGTAATAAATTAGACGACGAGAACGAAAATAACTTCTTGACGAAATAACAGTACTAGCAGATGAATGATTTGTATTTCAGTTATGATGCAATCATTTTCTTTTCATTTTAAATATACCGTTTTAATATATTATTGTAAATATTTTTTTATTTAGTCCATTATTATTAGTTAATAAAGAACAAATTTACCTTTAGCGGCAGTTACAGCTGATATGTACGGTGTCCTTACATTAAATTTTTAATTGTTTAATTTTTAATAAGTTAAGTCAATCTCAATATATATAGTAGATCTTTCAATTCGCGTGTCTTTATTTAGACGTATTGATTGAGCAACTGCATATTTGAATAGCTAAAGAAATTCTATGCATGAAGCCAAACCAAAAATAAAAAATAATACGTTAAATAGGAATACATAAAGTATTAGGAACTTGTAAATGATGAGATTGGATGCGTGAGTCTGTGGCCCACACAATATATTTTGACCAGGCGCCAAGTGTTCTGCTGGAAATCAAACATGACACCCACATTGATCTTAGTGTGAGTGTTTACTAATTACATATATTCGTCATGTCAAAAAAGGATTTGCCAAATTAGTAGCCTTGCACAGTGGCGTAACTATCCCATCTGGGGCCCGTGGCAAATTCTTTTGATGGGGGATTGTACTCTAGTTTAATTTAAATAAACTTCGAGATTTTCAGCGTACTCAATTACACGTTGTATATGTCTCACTAATGGCCATAGGCTTGATCTCTTAGGCGATAGGGAATATTCTGTAGTCCCCACGCGTATTGGAGACTTCACATTCATCCATAGAACTCTTGGGTCGGGGGCCCGTGACATTTTACCACCCTATTGTTACGCCACTGCTTTTGCACGAACTATAAAGGTGCGCTTACACGGGCAACTAAAATTGCTCAATTCCAGTCAATACTCGTCAACTATGACGTCACGACTACATCAAGCAATTTACGGCAACGGCAACAAGCATCAATACTGCGCAATACAATATTGAGCGATATGGCGCAACTTCATCAACTAGGCAATAGTGTCCTACACGAGCATTTCAGTATTCACTCGCTATAGACGACATTGTTCTTGCTGCGACGGCTTGTAGCGCTTTTTTTATTATTAATCAAAAACAAAAAAGAAAGAAAAGGAATAGTATAGTAGTAGCGTATCTGGGTGCGATCGTTTTTGGCAAAGAGGCCGCAATTTTCATTGTGTAAAGAATTAGATGATATATTATTCACAAACTTTACTAGAATGTCACGAACAGACTTTGAAATAATTTTGAAGAAAGTAATTAGAAATTATTATTATTTAGACCTCTCGCTCTCTCCCAGACGGCAAGCCGCAAAACAAACAAGTGCGAATGAGATATGTACAAAAATTTCTAGGAATTTCCAAGTCCATTGGATATTCGTCAATTCGTATCTGCGACATTCAGCGATATGAAATATCTGGAGCAATTAGAAGCAATATCGCCGAAATAATTTATTGAAATTTATTGAAATTGCTCAAATTGCTCCAGATCGGTCCATTCGTGTCGCCGAGCAATTATTGCCCTCGTGTAAGCGCACCTTAACACGTCTTGATATGTAAAATATTATTGTGACGTTAATTCCATAGATTGACGTGTTTCAATTGTGAATTAGTAGTTTTGTCCTCATGCCTAATGTCTCTTTTCAAATTAATAAACGTTTTTGAATGAGATTATGAAACAAAAACAAATAATAGTTGTGTTCTTGTTGAATGTTTGCTATAGCAAAGACAATAGTTAAAGTAACTTTAAGTATGCAAAATAAATAACTTAATTGGAAATGGGCGGAGCACATGGCTAGAGGAACAGAAAAGTGGAGCACGACAGTATCAAACAGGAGCCCAAGGATAAACGAAAAAAGGAAGACAATTTAGAAGGTGGATAGACCAATTTAAGGAAACAACAGGTCATATGGCAGAGAGTGCAGACAGAAATGTCGGGATTTGCCAAAAAAGGGCACACAGATACCTAAAAAGAAATACATATGTTTAAAAGTAGGGATGCATCCGATACCGATGCCGATTCACCGATACTTTTCAAATTATTATTTATGTATATTTGTATTTCATTTCGCTAAACACTATTTATTTATTAACACTTTGTTGCATTACAATATAAAAATTGAACATAATTAAATGAAAAGGAGGGCAAAAATAGTAGATTTGAAGATCATTTAGTTGGCTTTTAACTGCTATCGCGACTAGTATTTTTTCGATACCAAATTTAATAAAATACAGAATTAGTACAATGTTATCATTGTTAATTTTAATTATTAACAGTTATTTATTTTATTTTAATTTAATTATTACTCTTAATTTTTAATTTATAATTTTGTGACTATTTTTTGAAATATAAAAATTATAAACTTTAACTTAACTTGATATATTTTACCTCAATTTAATTTTAATTCAATAAGCGTTGGTATCGGTATCGGTATCGACGGATATTCCTATAAGTGTATCGGCATCGGTATCGTATCGGCAAAAAAGCGTATCGATGCATCCCTATTTAAAAGTAAAATGTGTAAAAGTATCTGAAATAAGACTATCATTATTATTATTATGTATGTGTCATGAGGTTAAAATCAAAAATATGTATTTTGTTGCAAGATTGGCATCTCTGTCCTTTACCCTTTGTCGAGTTGTGCAAGTGACGAGACTGCATTCACCGCTCAAGGCCGGTTTGCTTATACCTCTTTACCCTCTCATCTAGTGGAAATTTCCCAAATCCTTGGCAAAATTATAGGTTACGTTCTAAATTAATCGAGATTTATAATTTTTTCAACATCCAAAAAATCTAATAAAAATGTCCATTACATATTTTTATTTATAGACCAACTGTGGCTTTATATGTAAAGTCATGGTTTTAACTTCAAAATCAAACTTTTATAACCTGAAATGGAATTTCAAAAATACTTTCAACGTGGATGTTTTCAACGAAATTTCTAAATTGTAACCTCAGCAGGCTAGACTAAGCTATAATAGCCCTATACTTTATACTTTTCATAAAATTACCTGTGATGGATGGCTAATATAAGTAGTAAATACAACTTCCGATTGGTAAAAAAATTGTTTCTAATGGCATATGTACCTCTTAGTTAACATATGGGAATACGGGAATGCAAAGATGAATAGTCAAGGCATGCAGTTCTCTATACTTATATATAGATATTATGTATAAGACTCAAAAACGTAGCACCGGTTTCGAAAATTATTTCACCATTACAATGCCACATTATCCATGAGTCCCATGACTGTATTTATTTTAATATATAGAAGAAAAAAGGCTAATATAAGAGAGATATAAAAAATAGAAGAAATTCCCAGATGCCAATCTAATAGGCATGTTGTCATCAGAAAGATCGACAAAAAAGGTCTAGAAATGTTAGGCTTTCGCCGCCACTAATCGATTATAACAATGGATAACTGAAAAACGACACTAAATAAATAAGCATTGGAAATTCTTTATTCTACACAGACAAGAATTAGTACTTTCGATCTAAAATGGTAGTGAATGCCAAAAAAATCCTGTTTCAAGTTAGACTGGTTAATCTAAATCGTGCAATCGTAAAACCCACAAACCGTACAAAATTGTTACGCTCGTTCCGTATCATCAATTCCTTGAACACGGGCATATGTCGCAAATGCACATTTCATATATATGTGTATGAAACAAAATGACTCATATTAATCCTTTTTACTTGATTTTGTTTATATTACGCACAAGTAGACGGCCACCATAAAATGGCGAACCATATTGAATCATAATAAATGAGTTCGTGTCTTACAGTTGTACGTAATCTCTAGGTAATTATTAATAATATCGGCGCAACTCAGATACGAAATTTGATGCCCGATTGGGTAATGCCTATAAGGAAGCAAGGGGCGGTTTAAAACCTTTATGACCAACTTCAAAAACCCGACAGGTGACTGTATTTGACGTGTAATATTTTTCGTTTATAATAAATTTATTTGAAATCGACGAATAAACAAATATATAAACGACAGTGACAAATTATGAAATCTAGTTACAACTGGTATAAGTATCACGGAAATGTTATATATGTTAAGTTGGTTCTTCTGAACTTTAAAAAGACATTTTAAGTTGTCAACCGTGGAATGTAATAAGTACTGGTTCCATAAAGAGGACAAAGTTAAGTTCTGTTTACGAAGTCAACAATTGCATGGCCCCACTCCGAGTGTTGCATCAAGAACCGACCAGGCGGGGGTTTAGTACGCACCACCTCGGGCCACCTCGAGGTATACAAAGCAGTTCTTTAGAATATAATCATGAAGTTTATACTAGTTACAGTGATATTGGTACACCATATAACCGCGGAACACTATAAATCGAAGCGTAAGTACATTTTACGTCAACATTGACGACCCACTTTTAAATGCCGTCAAATGCATTACAACATCGTGATTATATAAAATTAATACAAGATTTAAATTATTTACGAATGATAATTTTAAAATATATTATTTACTAATTCTGTTGTTAATAATTTTAAAATTATAATGTCAATGCCCGATTTCTATGTAGTCACTAAAAGCATCTTTGTGTAGTTTAAATTTATGAAATCATAATTAAACTTTTTTCAGCTAGCTTTGTTAAAACGTGTTCGTTGAGTGATCCCGATTTTGACGATTGCTCTAAAACGGCTGTACAATTATTGTTCAATGCATTGGGACCTGGTAAGTCTACCTGCTATCTGCAAACTTTACATAATATGAAGATTGTATTTAAAACCAACAAAATTTAGTTTAACAAATAAACAAAAGGGTTTGCTTGTTTATGAAAACAAATTATATAAGGCGATCAAACAGTGAACTCGTGAATATGTAACCCTAATAACTAATTAATGTTGCTAGTGACTAATTAAAATATAGGTACTTGTCTACGTAAGTAGTGGTAACACCAGCCGTCATTGCACAAATGGAACTTGTTTGAGCGGTTACCGATTAAAGACCTCTTCATGTTCGCTGCGAGCCTATTCATTTTTTATTTAAACAAATTTATTTGTTTTAAATTATTTTATTTAAACAATTTAATTAACTTATTTATTTAATTAATTAAGTTGATATAATTTAAAATTCCAGTTTTTTTAGATATTATGGTTGTGTTATTTGGTATACGGTATCTCTGCATATATATTTTTATGATGAAAACAAAATATTGTTTGTCATTTAAGTTTTATATTTATTAACTGATAAGTACTTTGGTTTGAACAAGCTACATAGCCTCAATTACGAAATCAATATAGCGCGGAAAACGAAAGTGTCTGTATTCCTTCGCTGGTTCTTAGAAACAAGATCACTCACGTTTATAACTAAGTTTGTAACGAAAACATATAATAATTAATAGAAGTATCGTCCTTTACTGACTGAAAAGGGGCCCGAGGACCCAACGGGTAGATATATTACGTATGTTAATTATGGTTCAAACTAAATCAATTAAAATAAATCGAAAATAATTTAATAATAATTACGTACTGATTTTTTCAGGTCTTCCAGAGATAGATTTGCCTCCATTAGACCCCTTAAAAATACCAAAAATAAGAATATTACAGGGAGATGGCCCCGTTAATGTCAACGCAGCGCTTGACGATGTTACCGTGTCCGGCTTCGGTAAAACCGATGTTTTACTGAGTCAGTAAGTTCTTAATATTTTATGCGCTCCTAGTAGCAGTAGGAACAATTTGATCGACTGACCAACTGTCGGAATTGAAAAATCGGAAATCCGTGTTTGGGGATTCCTATTTATATTCGATAAATTTATTTGTTCCAGAGTGGACAGCAAAACATACGACTTTTACACAAAGGTACGAGTACCAAAAATAAGAATTGAAGGAACTTATGATTTAAAAGGAAAAATTTTATTGATACCCTTAGTTGGTCGTGGTCGGTGCTGGTTTGAGCCCAGTAAGTATAATAAAATGTTTTTATAAGAAATTTACCGATATCGACAAGCAACTTCAACTATTTTTCATTTCTAGGTAACATGACAATTGATATCGTCAGTGACGTGAAATTATATGATAAAGATGGATTTACGTTCTTTAACGTTACTCAGGTTCATGTTAAATATAATATTGGAGTTCTCAAACTGTATATGCACAATCTATTCGACGGAATTTCATCTTTGGGTAAGATTGATTCACAGAGATTTATTTTTGTTGCTAATATACATCATACCAACTGTATAACAACGACATCTGTTTCAATGTCCTACCATATTAATTCATAGTATTTTTACTATTCGATAACAGAGGGCAGCAGTTATTATCATTATGTACTTTCTGTGTATTATGCGATCCTAGTACTAGTATGTTACAAATTGCAACGTTTGAGACACCTCTCAACCCTTTCTTAATTTGCGAAGTTTTTTTCTATTTATTCTTTCTTTGCTTCTATTTCGTTATTTTATAAAACACGACTTAGTTAGACAGATAGACGACACACGTTAGTTTATAACATTTGAATCAAACAATTAAATAAAGAAATAATTGAATTATTTTTTATTTTTCAGAGGAAAGTACGAACGCCTATTTGAACGCAAATTGGCGCCCTGTGTCCGAATCACTACGACCAATTCTATCAAAAACAATTGAAGATATTCTACTCGGATTTATGCGGCAAATATTTCATAATTTACCTGCAACCTTTATCATAGAAGATGTTAAAAATAATAGTTTATTAAGCAAGAAGGATGACAAACAATTGTAAAATAATTTTAGCGATTCTAAAAGCTCCCTTTAAAGTCTTAATATAATCTTTCTAGACAGTAATTTTGCAATAATATATTTTTTTAATAGACGTGTTGTTAGATTTAAGAAAATAATATTGTTTGTAGTGTAATTGGTTTGTTGCCCAATGTGTTTGAGTTGACAAATGCAATGTTTTTCTGCCATTATACCTACTTTACATTTAATTAAGACCCGAAAATCATAAATTGTTAAGGTGCTCACTAACTAATATTATACGACCTAAAACTAAGTATTATTATGATTAATATTTTTTGTAAATAATGATTTTAATAAATATACTGAGTAGAGTTAAGACTTAACGTAAACATTATTTTCTTAGATTCCCTTGTAAAGTGGATTTTACGACGGCACGTGCTGTTTATACCTGAAGCTTTCAGGTATTGATGCCAAGGTCATGATTCACTAGCGTTAGTCATCCATACGATATTAGGATTTTCGTTTTAAACCAGTTTATATCAACATGAAAACAAATACTATTAATAAAAATACTATAAAATATTTGGGACGGTGATTGGGACGAGACAATCGTCGTAATAGTATTATATTCTTGATAATGAGCAATAATTGAAGAGTTTCAACAAAATCAAAATTACGAGGCTCTAAATATTATAAAATTATTATTACCTGCCAAATAGGACGACCAGGCATTTTATTTGTTTTTCAAATCACTAAGCACACACAAAACACACGCCCGTTTGGCACGTCAACCACTAGATGGCTCTCTTGCAAAAGTGAAGAACAAAATAACCTGTATTGAGTCATCTATTCCTGTTTTATACGAGCCGCAAAATGTGATCTGAGAACAGACATTACGCAGAACAGCTAAATGCTACCCAAAATATCTTCTCACGTAAAAAGAAACTACTCAACAAATAAACTCTTATGGTAATTACTTTGTTCGGAGATATAAATATTTTAAACGTATTTTGGGCGTTTTTATATTATACTATTTTTATTATACAGACAATAATTTCTATACTGCGCAGTACAGTATTGAATGACACTTCATAAATATTATATATTTATATAAGATATAGAATATATAAGATATATAAGATAACACGCTGTTCTGCGTAATGTCTGTTCTCGGATCACATTTTGCGGCTCTGTATTATCTTTATTTTAAAAGATAACCAACTATTGTATATCACCAATTTACAATAGTTTCTATAAAGTAAGTATAGCTTATACTTACTAAGTCTATACTATATTAAGGGCAAGAAAGTTAATGAAGCGTGAGCTTTTTTTAATCTTGAATTTAAAGGCTAGAATGAGAGAGTTTAGACGAGGGAGAAGATTTGAGATTATGCTTACCTACTCTGCTACCAAAATTAGGAATTGCCTGTGGCATCCAAAAAGAAAAGAAAAGATCATCGCTCCCTGTCCTGCACTCTTTCCAGCCTACTGACCTGGAGATATTAGGCTTGTAATTAGAGTTGCCACGAATAGTGATTTAGCCGAATACCGAATGTTCTGCAACGCTATCGGCCGCAGCGCCGAATATTCGGCCGCCGAACATTCGGCACTAAGTACATGCTTGTCGAACGCAAAATCGTGTGGGCGTGCGGCCATTTGATTGTTTGTTTCTATTGCGAGGTGGCACGTCAGGGCACGCTTTATCAGTTCATTATAAAAATAAACCATCACCTACGATTTTGTAGAAAAGTTCATTAGTTCTTTTCCAATTGTTTGGGTGTTAAAAAATGACACCACTTAATAAGAAATCGGCCATATGGCAATATTATGAGATTGATAGCTTGTTTTTATCCATAACAACTTACCGCTGATTAATTTTACTTATTAAAATATTGTAATTTGGTAATAAATACAAATCTTGAGTAATTTGATGTGTATTTTTTGTCCACGATTTAGTATTCGGTATTCGGCCGAATAGTACTTATTACCAAATAAAAGTGGCCGAATAGGCCGAATACAGAATAGTAGCCGAATATTCGTGGCATCTCTCCTTGTAAGAACTAGATTAAATGCTTGTGATTTCACCGCCTTATCATTTGTTAGCTAATTAATCAGAATTCCTTTCTTTCAAAACTTTTTTATACAGAATTAAAATAATAAAGTAAATCAGTGGCGCTACAACCTCTTTAAGTCTTGGCCTCAGATTTCTGAATCTGTTTCATGATCATTTTTAAATCTAATAGGCTAGTAGGTGATCAGCCTCCAGTGCCTGACACACGCCGTCAACTTTTAGGGGGTAAGACATGTCGGTTTCCTCACAATGTTTTCCTTCACCGTTCGAGTAAATGTTAAATGCGCACATAGACAGAAAGTTCATTGGTGCACAGCTGGGGATCGAACCTACGACCTCAGGGATGAGAGTCGCACGCGAATGAAAATAATATTTATCTCAAATGCCTGTGTTATGTGCCACAGGCCACCAAACTTTTTAAATTTGTTTTAATTTTAAATTTTTAAATTTTTATTTATTATTATTATGAAGGTTAAAAATAATGTAAATATTATATATTTGTGTATCTGTAATATTAATAAAAAATAAAGTGTTAGTATATAAGTACATAATAATACAATCTACCATTTTTATCTAAATAAATTTTGTATGCATATATGGAACAGACTTAAACATTCCAATATAACATTTCTAAGTCGTTAGTGTATTTAAGGATAACCATCGGGTTCGGGTTATAAACTAAGCAATTCTTGTAGGTCATGTTATTACAGTTGGAAACTAAAGTATGCTTCGACAACAAACTGATAACAAAAAATAAATTTATTACCAACAGTAAATCAAACAGGTTTTTGGTACGTCATCGAGCAGGCTTACCAACTTCATAATTTGCAGTTTTGTATGCAGATAATTGCAATCACATCAGATCACTCCTTCATTATCTGCAGTCCTTGTCCAACAAGTTCCTGGTAAGGCAGAAATTGAGGTGAAGATGATATTTTAATGTCCTACCTAGATTTTAGGATAGCTATCGTGTGATGTGTTCATAGCACGAATTAAAAATAGTAAATAATAATAAAATTACCTAGATAGTTGTAACCTTAATTTTAAAAAAGAATTTTGTATTTTTCAATAGATGACTAATAGAGAAAGTATAGTGATATAGTTCTAATGAATGTATGATCCGTACACTTATCATTATATATTAATAAAAGTAGTGCGTCTTATTATTTTTGAATACGCTGGATAGCAAACGATGAGTTAATGAAACAAGATTTTAATGATTTTGTCATTAAACTAAAAGAAGATTCAACAACACAATTTAAAACAGAACAACGAGCAATGACCCAGAGAAGGGTGCACCTAAGGGGATAGGGCCCCTTTGGTGTCATTCACAAAAGGAACATTAACTAGGTCCGTATAAATGGAAAGAGATCGTGGTGCATACATGCACTTTGCACCGAATCTGGGTGACGTCATCGCGTTCGCATTGCATTGTTTGATGTTGCACTTTTCAAGTATGTGTCATTTAATTTGTTTTGCTCGCAGCGTAAAGCACGATTCGTACTGTTGTTTTATTTTGTTCAATTATATTTTAAGATTATATTTTTGTTTCTAGTATTGAAAGTATTAAACTTTAGTAGAAACAAATTGATAGGCAAGGTACAAATTGGAGTTCTAAGGTCAAGACGCCTAATATTTAAATGTTTTGCTTAATATAATTAAAATATTATTTTAACAACAAAGAACACAAGTAATACAATTTAAACGCCTTTGTCTGCGCATCGTTGAAACAATAATAAATTTTCCGAAATCTATTTCTATCGCCACATCATTACGTTCAGCTATGTAGAAAACGTGTTCGGTAACGGCCGTTATAGCGGATTCCGTTATTAAAAATAAGTTTCGCAACTTCTGCGCCACCGTCTTAAAATAATTCCCACGTAGGTTGCACCTACACACAATTCTTTCGAATTTTTTTAAAACCGAAAAGTTTGTAGACGTTTCAAAATAATTATTGATGTATTTAATTATTATGCTTCTAAAAGTCATGAACGTCCCAGATCAATATATTCCCAGATAATATGACGTGTGTTAACGTGGGTTCCATAACAGAATAAAATAGATAACATTTTATCCGAAACTAAATAAACCGAACGAAGAAGTTATCAATAGGACGAGTATTTTTTTTTTTAATGTCCAAGTATTGCTTCTCCTTAGAGGTGTCAAGTAATGCCAAATAAGAAATATTGTTATTTAATACTTTTTAGTGCATTTTGGTTTCAGTTCTATGTTTTTAAAAAGAATATATTATATTTCTGGTATGATTGAATTGTTACAGGATTATGAAGTATATGTAAATATAAAACTTAAGGAAAACGGTTTTTGATTGAAATAAGTGCCCGGAATAATAGACAAAATAATTTAAATACTCATTAAATTATTACATACAAATACAATGTTATATATACAATTATTAATAATATTATGTGTTTAATTCTAATAAAATAAATGCAAATAATAAAAAGATAAAGAGCTAAGCATGAGGTAGTTCTACATTCCAAACTATTTAATAATAACCTTTTTAATATGTCTCCAGAAAATTCTGTAATCATCAAACCTCGTCGAGAATGTACTTGACGTTTCAGTTCAAGACTGTTACGAGAATAGCCCTCTGAATGTTATGCTTAAAATAGAATCATCCTTCTATATACAATTCTGATTTCCATTAATTTCCAAACGGTAACGTCATTAACATACAGTGTTGATTGAATATGATGCTTAAGTCAAAATTGATTACAGCGTAAACGCAATTTGGGACAAAGAGCCGGAACAGTACCTTTTTTAAACGACAGAAATAAGATTGATTTATTTATATAAAAAACGTATGATATCGACAATTTATTAAAACAGTTTAAATGTAAAATAATATTTCCACTATAAACTTAACTGAAATAAAACAATGTAAATAGTAGTCGTGATACAAAATATCTACTTTATCACACTGACTCCTCCAAGCGAAGTTAGCCACGAGTCGGTACTAAACTAACTAACTAATAAAAAGACGTATCTGTTATTAAACATAAATCTATGGTGTTTTGTGACTAAAACACCAACGAAGATTAAAAACACATTATGTAAACCCACCTTAAAATATATGTGGAGAGAAATCGAAATGTCCGAAAATTCCTCATTATTGTTGAACGAGAATGTGGACGGAACGCTTGGAACGTGGGCGCCTGTAAGCGGAGAATCTGGAGCAGGCACTTACGATCGCCGTGTATTAGGATAACATGAATTTGAAGAAGGTCGACTTTACACCAGCGGCGTTTTTTAAATAAACGCTATCTATCAGGCAGCAGCAACATTATTAAGTAAAACATCTAATATCAATATCACGCCACCTATTAATTGAAATTAGAAACTACCAACAATAGCTATTTGACACTAGATGGATACTTTATCATAGTTGTGCGTCAAACCCGACGAAGGTGACAGTCGATAGATAATACATATTTATCAATCCTCCCACGTGCACTAAACATTAGCAGAATCTATTTTTAAATTGGAAAGTGGTAACACTAATGTTTTGAGCGTGGTAGTAAATATACGAGTATGGAAAGTATGCACACATGTGTTTTAATATTTAGTTGTGTATAGTTTCATACTACCTTACAAATTGGCATTCGAGCAAGTATTTCAAAAATGATGTAGCCTGTTTTTGAATATTATACATACCATTAGATACTAACAGAATATAGTATAGTAGTAGTATATATAGTTAATATTAAAGACGTACTACGTCTCGACTTAGTTTCTTTGAGTGTGTAAATAACAGACGAGGTCACTTTTTGTTTTATTTATTTATTTGGGTAGGAAACAGATTAAAAATTCAAATGGATAATAAGGACAATAAATGGTCATATCTGACCACGCACGCTGTAAAGCACGCGAAACGTCGGATAAATTAAAAATTATGTTAAATAATTGTAAATTTATAATAATACATAACTTTAATCCGGTTAAAAAGTGTTTTCTTTAAATAAATGGTCATGAATTCACTTTTACTTAACATTTTAAGTGATAATTTCAGGTTTTTTAGTTCTTTAAAACATAAATGGCGCCAAAACCCAGGACATACACAGCGCATGCGCTAAAACGCGCGCTGTCACAGATAAGTAAACTTAACTAGAAGTCATACAAATGGCTTGTCTATTTACGCGGTAAATTTAAAATGTTTTGAAATGCGTAAAAACGAAATGAGCACTAAGGTTGTCCTTGTTGCTATTTAACTATTTTATATATTGGTTATAATTTTCTTCGATATGAAAATTTATAAATAGCTTATTAGATTGAAAGTGTTCATTGTATAATGAAGTTTAAAAAATGTATGTAGTCTATTTTGTTTTAATAGTTGTCCTACTCGATCATCACTGTAATAATGCATTAGCCAGCGTCAAGTATAAGATTTTTATAATTCGTGCTTGCCTTAGAAATTCGACCGTGTCCTCCATGTACGGTTTAAGCACTCGCCCGGTACCGCACAACCCTCCCAATGGCCGAGAACAAATTTAAATTAAATTAAAACTTGCCCTCGAACCGGGAATCGAACCCAGTACCGCTCACCTAGCTTCCACTTAATAAGACCGCTAGGCTATGAGGCCTCCAAATGTTGAATATAATAAGAGTTTGAAAAATGTTTCAGCATTTTTGGTGCTCGATTATGAAATAAATAACGTTAGTATTATTTGCAGGGCATGTCACTATTTTTAAAACTAAGCATTTATTGATTGTGATTGATGTAAGTATACAGTTTTGGAAACACTAGAACATTTAGGTGAAATAAAACTTTGCAATTGTCTAAGACAGTAAATATTTTATTAACTATTAGGGCCTAACATTAATTATTACGAGAAATATTCACATAATTTTATATTACGTTGCTTACAGCCAAGAATAATCTACGTAAATTTTTTGTTACATTAATGTAAGCTAAATAAAATTAATAACATGATTTAATAGTTATTATGGTAATTATATTTTTTACAACCAGTATGCTGTTACGGTAAAAAAATGTAGAATGCCATTTTCAGTACTTGTATCTTAATTCGGAGACACGTCTAAGCACAAACTTACGCCCTTCAGGAAAGAAGACTAACAAACTTGGATGTATCTCTAAATAAAGCATAGGATCACATAAGGGTATAAAACAACTACACTGAGAAAAGTATTAAACTAGTAATAGTCCAATATTTAGCACTGTCAAAAAAACGAATCTTAAAACTCATTTGTTAAATTTACGCACTAGATTTTCCTGATAGTTCAGTTCAGGGATTCATTCTTCAGTTAAAAAGTAATTGAAATATATATGCAAATACAATAGTATAAAATTATACATTTTACAAAATATGTTTAATAACTCTAATGCATATGTAATGAAATTAATTGTAATTTACATTATTGCTTCGAACACGTATCAATCATATTTACATCTTTTATTATTTAATGGTATTTACATAATAATACTTCGGTAAGTAATTATCAATATCTGAAATTTAAAATTATAAAATAAGATTTCAATCCTCTATAAATTATAGTTAAAATTATATTGCGATGACTAGCGAATACCAAAGTACAAATATATTGGTATTTTATTAATACATACTTATTTATATACACAAATTACCAAGGGTAGATCTCGCTAAATATATGGAATGTTAGATATATACAAGAGTCTTATGTTTTAAACCAGCCCATCGTATGCATCGTCAAATTCTTGTTCGGAATCATCATCTTCAGGTGTTGTGTCCTTATGATGTGACATTTCTTTTTGGGCCAGCAGCCGGTCGCAATCGTTTAGTCGTGCGAGCAAAACTTCATACACACGGTTCATTGACACCACCTTTTCTTTACATGACGGGTCTCTTTCTAAAGCGAAAAGCCGTGAATCCAATAGCTTTATTGCACCAACAATGTAGTTTCTTAAGGTTTTAGTTTTATGCTCTCGGCTTATGTTGTCCAGAAACGCGCAAACTTGTCTCTCTCCGCATAACAACACGTCAACATCGTACGCTAAAGGGGAATGCTGTCGGTGTAAGAATGCTATTAGCCGCTTTGCATATCGGCGGTATGTTCTATAGATTTTTCGTTTCCTCGTACCAAGTGTTCTGCCCATTGTCATTGACTTCTTCATATCATCAATTACAGCTTTGTACCCTGCGTCAATTTTAGAGTCGAAAATATCTCGTAGCCGTGTTTCTACAGGCTGTAGTTCATAGGGAGCCGGTGATGGCGGTAGGGACGGAGACGATGGGGGCGGTGATAAAGGCAACGAGCTGCGTGCACTGTCATCTTCACTCGATTCGCTTGACAAACTACTTTGAACTGAATTCGTTTCTGGTACGGCATAAGGTCTCGCTCGAGTTCTAGTACGTTGGACACGCGCAGGTCTTGGAGCAGTCCTAGCATTGTAAGCTGTCAGAACATTTGCGTCTTGCTCAGTCAGGGGCCGACTTCTCTGTGTAGCCGCTAGTGGAATGATGCGTATTTTAACTAGCGCATAGCTTTGATGTATCTTAGCTCTAATACGAGGGTCATCGTAATCTGAGCCCCAGAGGTCTCTAATAGCTGTTTCTTTGAGATAGCGGACTTGGCATAGTTCGCCATTGAAGAATCTCTTTCGTTGTTGCTCGTTGAGCGCATCTCGTTCGGCGCCTGTGAGACCATGGATCTTGGTGAGATGATCTGGTAGTTTTCCATAAGTGAATCTTGCGCAATCTTCGATAGGACAAGGTATGTTGGCATGGTTTTGTTTTTTCGTACGGGTGGCGGTGGTAGGCGGCCGCGCACTCATTTTTGTGGTTCTGTAAATAAATATTCCTTATATCAGACTTTTATTTTAAATTAACAATTATTTGGTGTAGCTTAACGGGATATTAGTTAATCATAATCATTGGGCCTTGGTTATATATAATGCTAAAAAAATATTGATAACAGATTCTATATAAAAAGCGAACAACAAAAATCTATAAGTCTCTAAAGGTACTAGAGGAGATTGAGATTATATAGTTGCTGTTAAAATATACAAAAATGTATATTATGTTCCACATTCCCTTGCCAAAGCTTTTCCTTTACAATAATAATTGTTTAATAACAATTTGAAATCTATCGAATATCTTGAATTCGTTGACGACCGAAGAATATTTGCTCCCGACGGAAGAAAGTTTTCTACAGTATATTGTTTTAATATAACAATTCCTAGATGCCTAATATTTTATTATCAAGCTTAGTTACCTCTTCTCAAAATCCCATATTTATACGGAAAATAAATTTTATAAAAATACTATTAATTTTAACAATTTAAAATTATGAAACTGTTAGTTACAGGTTAATTTATTAAGAATCTCAGATTATTTATTTTTAATGATTATCTTTTTTATTTTTACCTACATCATTATGAATGAAAATTTTGTGATGATTTCTATATTCAGGAACAAGATTTAGCATTAAACCTGACTCACTGTCATAGTTTGCGCTAAGCCTATATCCTTATTGTCCTTCGTGGGTCAGAACGCTTGAACGAAGCTCAGTCAAGGTATATTAACAATAATACTTGCGTAAATAAAAGAACTTTAAAACTATAGTCTCTCAAAATAAATAGTTAATAAGTAAATTAAGGAGTTTATTATTTTATTAAAAGTTTATATAATAATGGCAACGAGATAATTTATTTAGAGTATGTTTATCAACAAGGGTGGCTGTCCGAGGATAATAATTGTGTTGACGCAGGCCGGCGGCTGTTTACGGAGAGCCGGCCGTCCTTAATTTATTGAAAACAATACACTATCTTCGATGTCATTATTTGGAGCTCTTAGCTTAATGGAGTCTTAATAATTTTTAGAGTCGAGTGATGAAAATGGTCTTATATTGAAAATGCTATGTATTTTTGCCGTTCTCTTCTATTTTTAGCTGTAATAATCATCAATACAATAATGTCGATAATCAGCCAGTAAATGTGTTGGATTGAGCTTAAGCTTAAAATCCAAGCATAGGGTGTGAAAGCATTCTTGAGTGGAATCAGGGTGAAGAGGAAGTGCTGCAACTGAAGGATAGTAACTGGTGGAAAGTTGAGACGAGACGAGAGAAGACGATGAAACGTCTATGGTGATCAATCTAAAAGATACAAGAAATCTTACCTCGTCGATTGGGCTTGAGCTAAAAAGCAATGTGAAAGCATACTTGAGCTGGTCAATTATTTGGGAGCTAGTAGATCAGCTTAGGTGTAGAGGAACTGCTGCAAAACGCCTGCGAAAAGTAGCGGAGGACCGGGAGCGGAAGAAGTGTCTCTTTTCAGGAGTGAAACAATTTCGATGAGGACTCGTACAGTAAGATAATTAGCGTCTTTTGTAAACTCTTATTTAAAAAATTTAAATAAAACGGCAGTTCTTTGTAAACTAGAAAAAATAGAAATAGAATTCTTCCGTGGCGGAAGACGGACGAAAATAATCAATGAAAGACATAGAAATGTGCCAATCCCGTAGGGGTTTCAAGACTTCAAACAACAATGCTTAGACATTTATAATTTGAAACAAAACAATGAAATATTAGGGACTATCCGAAGCGGTTTGATTGAGCTAATATTTATTTTTGAAATTAGCTTGTTCCGTCTTGGGCCGGTCGCCGCGAAATTATAAATAATATTAATGAAACGGGCCTCAAGGGAGACGATATCTTGCTATTGTTTAATATACTTCAATTAATAATTTTGATTAGCCCTATGGAAAGTACCGGGATAAAGAATATAAATTGGTAAGAAATGTTTAATAAAATAACTTCAGGGCAACGTTAATTAATAAACGTCAACTCAGGCGAAACAATAATTATTTAGCATGTAACAATGAGTAAGTATATTAGCTAAAGACAAAGTATATGAGATTTTTTTAAGGCAGTTTTGCCGCGCACCACCACTATGTGGAACCAGCTGCCAACTAAAGTATTTCCGAACCAATACAACTTAGGGTCCTTTAAGAAAAGAGCGTACCAATTCTTGAAAGCCCGGGAACGCACTTGCGAGCCTTCTGGCAATGTGAGAGTCCATGGGTGTCACTTAACATCAGATGAGCCTCCTGCCCGTTTGCCTCCTATTATATATTGATTGCCTTTAATATAATATTATCTGATGAACGCTAGCGTGGAAAAACACCTAATTTTTCTTTCTGTTATTAACATGATTAAATATATCATAGTACAGTAATCAGTATTAATTACTTAAGAAAATTAAATAATTGTATTACAAGTTACAGGAGCTAAGATTTCTCATCATGTAATATGACACAAATGTCACGGATTGCGAAAGTTTTCATAAAGAGACTCCCCTTTTAGGCGAAGTGCGACTTGAATAAATAACTAATTTACATATTTAATACAGGTATCGCTCTCAGATTCAATTGTTCAAATCCGTGAATTATTAAACTGAGCCGCGGTTAGCTTATTACCCTCTAGAACAATCAAATATTCAGATCAGCTTTTCTTTAATTAGTAATTTACAAATAATTTATAAGGTTCGTGTTAATTTTATTTTTCCAACACCGGGCAGTTAAAAATCACGTTTATTTTAATCTAAGTATTGGAGTGTAGCAGCAGTGTTGGCCTAGTGGCTTCGGCGTGCGACTCTCATCCCTGAGGTCGTAGCTTCGATCCCCGGCTGTGCACCAAAAAGTCGACGGCGTGTGTCAATCACTGGAGGCTGATCACCTACTTGCGTATTAGATTTAAAAATGACCATGAAACAGATTCAGAAATCTGAGGCTCAGACTTAATGAGGTTGTAGCGGCGCTGATTCATTTTTATTTTATTTTAAGTATTGCACTGTTAAATGTTGCCGCCGCTCATAGACACTCTCAAAGCCAGAGGGCTCGGGAGTGCGTTGCCGGCCTTTTAAGAATTGGTACGCTTTTTTCTTGAAGGACCCATTGTCGAATTGGTTCGCAAGTACTTCTGTGGGCAGCTGGTTCCACTAAGTGGTAGAGCGCGGAAAAAACTTCCTTAAAAAATGCTCAGTTGTCAAATTTATAATTACCGATATATTAGTAGATAAGCTAAATAATAAGAAAATGATTGAAAATTGGCAGGATCTACTTTTTATTCTGTATTGTATTTTTTGTTTTCGCGTATGCTTGGTAGACTCATGCCGCTTCTTCAATACAAAAAGTCGCCTCGGGAATCCAGTGCGATGTTGTAGGCTAGACTATCTATCTATCGTAGGCTAGGCTATCACGTGAGGAAGTTGCTTGGATCTGGTGAGCGCAGCCTGATTCTTGAGTTCTCTTGTTATTTTTACATCAAATTTTGTTCTATTTCATAAATGGTTGTCTTCATTTTAACATGTGTGAAAAGAAAAGAGCGTACCGATTTTTATAAAGAAAGCCTTCTGCCACTGTGAGTGTCCATGGGCATGTATAATTTATTATCAGGTGGTGTTCTGCCCGTTGACTCTACTTTACTATATATAAAAAAAAATAAACAAAAAACAATGCATTTTAGATGAACAATATCTTTTATAGAAATATCTAAGTTACTAAATAATCATATGCTATCAATATCAAATATAGGAGCAAAAATAGTATTAGACTAAAAACATTTCATAAAATGTTTTGAAATAGGTGCATTGCGATGCAAAGGTAGGGGAGAAGGGGGTTGTTGCGAACACCCGAAAACAGTAAACAAAGGGGAGACGTAAACAAGGGTGCAAGGGTGCTCCGATACAATAAACAATTAGTTTAATCGATACATGCAGGAAGTTTATCACTTTGTGTCTTTAGTGTAGAATGTTTTGATTCCTAGTTTTAAAACGGATTAAAATACGATTTTGTTTATTACTTCGATGCTGTATTCCAATTATTTACTAGAAACATATACAAAATACTATTTTGTGGTATCTATGTAATATATATATTAAAAAAAAAAACATATATGGCTACCAAACATGAGCATAAACCGCTTTCTTACAAAATAAATGTTTACAATTACTTAGAACGAAGCATTAACGAGAAAAAGTAAAACTAAATTTAGGGATGCAAAAACAACTTGTAAAATACTGAAATGGAAATTTGCGGGACACATGATAAGAGAAGAATAGAATAAAATGGACAAAGAAGATAATAGAGGTATCCTAACGATGGAAAAACAAGAAAAAAGGCAGATCCTCATCTTTTTCCGTCGTTGGGAATACGACGTAAGAAGGTAAGCCGAAGAACACATCAACATGACGACACTCGGAGGAAGGCTTTCCCGACACAAACAGATTAATTGTAACAATAGTAAATGATCTATAAAATATTGAAAAAAAAAAAAATACTCTAGACTAAACTAACATCAATAAAAGCTTATTTTATCTCAGTATTTTTTATAGAACAGGGGGCAAACTCGCAGGAGGCTCACCTGATATTAAGTGATACCGCCCATGAACATTCAATGCCAGAGAGCTCGCAAGTTTGTAGCCGTTCTCTTAAGAAGAGGTACGTTTTTTTCTTCAAGGACCCCAAGTCGAATTGGTTCGGAAATAGTTCACTGGGCCTGGTTCCACAGTGGTGGTGCGATAGTAAGTAATATAGATGTCGTAAAATTGAATCACGTTGGTGAATGCTGAGAAAAAGGTAACAGAATTCCATCAAACGATTTTTTAAACGCAATTAGGGGTTGACATGTAGGTTATTGATACTGCCTACTTTTCATTAATTGCCTGGTTTGGCTGAAATGTGTGTGACGTCATTAATATAAAAGCAAATCTTATTATATTTCTTTTGGTGTGTATGTGACGAACTCCTCCTAAGAGGACCAATTTTGATGAAATTT